GCCCCGCCGCGGGCCCCCCCCCCCCCCGCCCCAGCCCCGTGCCACAGTTCCTCTCTCTGCAGCTGATCCCTGAACCTCGTGGAAGGTGGGAAAGTCCTGGAGGGCTTCATCCCCTTGGATGGAACCACCGCAATGGGTCCATCAACCTCACAGATCAAGCCGAAAGCATAGAAAGATTTTTTAAAAGTTGGCTGTGCTCCCGCCAGTGTTCACCAGCCTCTTTCTTCTTGAACGCTGTGCTGAGAAGGAGGCCCAGGAATTCAGAGGAAACAAGGGTTTTCTGCAGGCTCTGGCTTGTGGGCTCCTGCGATTAAGAAACCTAGTTGGTTTTGACAAGGAATACCAGTTTCTGCCAGCCAGGAAGTTGGGAAACTCAGAAGTGAAGAACAAAGCTAGAGGGTCTCTTGTTCTCCCTCCCCCCAAATCTCATCGCTTTTTGGCTAGCCTTAGGATATTCGAAGCTCAGAAGTTCTTGCTGAGGAGGTAGAGAACGAGGCAGCCACCAAAATTCCAGGGATCACGGCAGCTCCCATGGGCTGGAGGCTCTTAGCAGGGACCGGGGAGGATTGCAGCCACGGGGGGAATATTGGCTTGGATTGCGGGAGAAAGGTCTGGAGTTTTTCGCTCTGCCGTCACCCTCCCGCGGGACCTGCGGCTGTGGCTTCATCTTCCCCTGCTCCCTGGCACAGCCCTGCTTTTTTTTTGGGAGCCGATCGGCTCTGCAAGGCTTTGCAGGCTGCGTGCGTGCCGCGCAGGGCTCAGCACCAGGGCTGCGTCCTGCCCATTGACACTTCTCAGGTACAAAGAGCAACCGTTTTCCAACCTGAGCGATATCCCCAGATGAAATCCTCCCACCCGGCAGAGCGAAATTTGGACGCTGACAGATGAAGGGGCCTTTGTAATCTCAGCTTTTACCTATGGGAGGAAGAAGGTTGAGAGTCTGCGTTAGCCCAGGGCAGAGTTAAGGTGACTGCGTTATGGGAAGGGGACCTGTGCTTGCGTCACTGCAGCCGAGCAGAGCGGGCTGTCCCCGGTTAGCATCCCCTGCCTCGGGGGTGAACCGGGCAGTCCGTGTCCCCGCGCTGCGCATCGCTCCCGGGGAGAGCCGCGAGGATCTGGGGTGGGAGGATGGATCTTTCAATGCCTCGGCTCAGGAGAAGAACTTGAGTGGGAGCCCACTGAAGGGACCCGAAACCTGCCCGCTCGCCTGGATGCTGCCATGGCTGCGAGGCCAGCACAGCTCGGGCCTGGCATCCCCAGTGGGGAGGCTCCGGCAGCCAGCTCCGCTCCTTCCCTCCCCTCCTTCCCCAGCCCAGCCCGGCAGGATGCCCGGAGCAGCCCAGCATCAGCTGCAGAGAGAGGTGGGGCCCTGCTGGCGTCCTGGCAGGGGGAGAGGAGCTGGCCCTGGGGGTGGGCAGAGAAGGGAACAGAGGAGGGGCAGGGAGCGCAGATCGAGAAAATAAATACAAACAGCCCATCAGGCTTCTCAGGGGAGATGGGGGACCCAGGCGGAGCGCTGCAGCGAGGGAGGAGGGGGATGCGTGTGCACAGGCAGGGGGATATGGGGCGTGCAAAGGGGGTGGAAGGAGTTGGTGAGGGGTGCGCACTCCCGTGTGGACGTGTACGTGCTGTTCGTGTGTCCGCACGTGAGAGAGGAGCGATTTGTGCGTGTGAGAAGTGTGCGCGGGAGGCGCCTGTGATAGATGCATGATGTGCGTTGCATCCAGTGCGTTATCCAGGCATGCTGTGCATCGCGCGCACGTTAGTCTCGGGGCGGATGTGGCTATTGCCACGAGCTCATTAGGCGAATATTGTTTTATAATCGGTGCCATAGCAATGGTGAGGCAGGCTTCTCGCTGCCACCTGATCCCTCTGCCTCGTCCGCCGCTCGCCCTGCAAACTCCGAGACCATCTGCTGATCCGTGCCACGGGCTGGAGTCCGCCCAGGTGCGAATGCCCATCACCTGGGCTTCGCTTGCCGTGCAGGGGAGGGGGAACCAGCCCCCCAGGGCCTGGGAGGGAGGCGAGGGGGGGGCCAAAACCTCCAGCACTTGGAGGAGGAAGAGGACAGAGGTGGGAGACTCCAGCAAGCAAACTGCAGGGAGATCTGGGAGGACACACGCAGATATGTGTGTGTGGGATGGGAGACGCAGCAATTCGTAGAGCAGGGAGTTAACTGGTAATGAGGACAAACTAGAGCAGATTTTCTCAAGGCAGAGTTTAACAAGAGACTTCGAAATCCGAGAAGGGTGAGAGGCAGAGACCAAGCCTAACCCACAAAAGAGATCATTGTTTCATGGTTAAATAGGGGATCAGTGTTTCAAAGCAGTACCTGTGTATCCTGGATACGTCCATCTTTCACTTTCTTTCTCTTTCCTCACCAAACTTTACCGCAGGTGAGTTTTACAGCAGCTCACAGGCAGAACCTATGGGATGGTAGTTGCTGCTGGTGGAGCCTGTCTGGGAGAGGCTGTCCGTGGTCCGGGCACCCACCAGTGCTCACCTGCCCTGGACAGGCACCCGCAGACCCACGCATC